TTGTATATTCTCCTTTTTGAGTTTTAATTTTACCATAAAAATAATAAATAGTGGTATGATACCGAAGACAGTACAATAAACTTTCCCTTTCGGGATAAGTTTGGATAGGAATGTGATATATTTTTACTCTATGGCATGTTTGAGAATTGGTTGAACAAGAGTAGAAAAAACATGTAGGTCTCATGATGTCATATAAAATTAAATTAATAATTTTAATGCTAATTCTAATTCACCCATTTGAATAACACCTCTCACGCGGGTTTCAAATTAAGGCGTCAATTCTGATCCGTTAACACAAATTCAATACAATACGATTCTATAATTGTCACGATTATTAAGTACACATAATAAATAGTTTAAATTAATGTTTGATATTTGGAACATATTAAATAAATTTTTATTCATAGATTTTGACACGAATATTACACAAAATTCCAACACGCGAACGATACTATACAAATTACCACCCTAATTTCAATAACCTCATGTACATAAAATTATTTCACTCGAGTGTTTAGGAGCATTACATACTCATTATAAACCCAGCAAAGAGACCGTCCCGCATAGGTTAACGGACACTGAATTATTTAAAAAAGCATCAAACCCTCCGGTTGTTTCTTGGGAAAACTGAGCATTTATTTTATTTTCCTCTTCATTATCTCAGCAACCAAGCTGAGCATTGGGTTAATGCATGTACGGCACAAATTGAAGTCATTTACTGGTTTTGTCGACGTTAGAAATTTTCCTGTTTGTCGTAATTTGTGTTCGAATACAAACCCATTATATGTTTGCAACTCAAGAATCACAAGATGTTCCAAACTGGGGGATATAGAAACTGCACGCCGTGTGTTCGATGAAACTCCCCAGAAGAATGTGGTGACTTGGAATTGTATGATATCTGGGTACGTTAGGAATGGGATGATTCGTGAGGCACGCAAGGTATTTGATGCTGTGCCCGGTAGAAATATTGTTTCTTGGACTGCTATGTTAAGTGGGTACGCAAAATGTGGAATGTTGGAAGAGGCGCGAGTTTTGTTTGAGAAGATAGATAGCAAGAATGTTGTTTGTTGGAATTCAATGATATCTGGGTATGTAAGAAATGGAGAAATTAGAGAGGCTAGAAAATTGTTTGAGGCAATGCCTGTTAAGAATTCTGTGTCATGGGTGACTATAATTGAAGGGTATTTTAGATATGGCCTTGTAAGTGAAGCCAAGAAGTTGTTTGATCGTGCTTCAAAAAAAAGTGTCTTGGTTTATAATGCTATGTTGGCCGGTTATGCTGAAATGGGATATGTTGATGATTCTTACGAGTTATTTGTTATAATGCCTCAACGTGATGTGGCTTCTTGGACTTGTATGATAAAGTGTTTTTCAAATGGAGGGCAGGTGGAGAGAGCTAGGAGCTTGTTTCAGGAGATGCCGGAAAAGGATGTCGTGGCTTGGACAACAATGATGCGGGCTTATTTGCAGAATGGTCGTATTGCAGATGCTAGGGAATTATTTAATGAGATGCCTCATAAAGACATTGTTGCATGGATTGATGGTTGTATTCAGAATGGAAGGGTTGAAGATGCTCTTGAATTGTTCATGCAGATGCCAAGGAGGGATACAGTGTCATGGAATTCAGTATTGCAGGGATATGTGCAACAAGATGATATGATTAATGCTTGCAAATTTTTTGAAGCAATGCCCCAAAAAGATGAAACCTCATGGAACATAATGATTGCTGGATATCAAAGTGAGAAAGCTTTAGTTTTATATGTCCACATGTTGCAAAGTGGATTTAAGCCTGATCAAGGGACCTTTACTAGTGTAATCTCGGTATGGNTGAATTTGACATGATATGATTCTATAATTGTCACGATTATTAAATATATATAATAAATAGTCTAAATTAATATTTGATATTTAGAATATATTAAATAAATTTTTATTCATAGATCTTGACATGAATATTGCACAAAAATACTAACACGCGGACGATAAGACACAAATTGCCACCCACCAGCCTAATTTCAATAACCTCATGTACATAAAATTATTTCACTCGAGTGTGTAGGAGCATTACCGACCCAGTACAAACCCAGCAAAGAGACCATCCCGCATGGGTTAACGGACACTGAATTATTCAAAAAAGCATCAAACCCTCCGGTTGTTTCTTGGGAAAACTGAGGAAAATTGAAAAGATCATTTATTTTATTTTCCTCCACATTATCTCAGCAACCAAGCTGAGCATTGGGTTAATGCATGTGCGGCACAAATTGAAGTCATTTATTGGTTTTGTCGACGTTAGAAATTTTCCTGTTTGTCGTAATTTGAGTTCGAATACAAACCCATTATATATTTGCAACGCAAGAATCACAAGATGTTCCAAACTGGGGGATATAGAAAATGCACGCCGTGTATTCGATGAAATTCCCCACAAGAATGTGGTGACTTGGAATTGTATGATATCTGGGTACGTTAGGAATGGGATGATTCGTGAGGCACGCGAGGTATTTAATGCTGTGCCCGGTAGAAATATTGTTTCTTGGACTGCTATGTTAAGTGGGTACGCAAAATGTGGAATGTTGGAAGAGGCGCGAGTTTTGTTTGAGAAGATAGATAGCAAGAATGTTGTTTGTTGGAATTCAATGATATCTGGGTACGTAAGAAATGGAGAAATTAGAGAGGCTAGAAAATTGTTTGAGGCAATGCCTGTTAAGAATTCTGTGTCATGGGTGACTATAATTGAAGGGNTACGATTCTATAATTGTCACGATTATTAAGTACACATAATAAATAGTTTAAATTAATGTTTGATATTTGGAACATATTAAATAAATTTTTATTCATAGATTTTGACACGAATATTACACAAAATTCCAACACGCGAACGATACTATACAAATTACCACCCTAATTTCAATAACCTCATGTACATAAAATTATTTCACTCGAGTGTTTAGGAGCATTACATACTCATTATAAACCCAGCAAAGAGACCGTCCCGCATAGGTTAACGGACACTGAATTATTTAAAAAAGCATCAAACCCTCCGGTTGTTTCTTGGGAAAACTGAGCATTTATTTTATTTTCCTCTTCATTATCTCAGCAACCAAGCTGAGCATTGGGTTAATGCATGTACGGCACAAATTGAAGTCATTTACTGGTTTTGTCGACGTTAGAAATTTTCCTGTTTGTCGTAATTTGTGTTCGAATACAAACCCATTATATGTTTGCAACTCAAGAATCACAAGATGTTCCAAACTGGGGGATATAGAAACTGCACGCCGTGTGTTCGATGAAACTCCCCAGAAGAATGTGGTGACTTGGAATTGTATGATATCTGGGTACGTTAGGAATGGGATGATTCGTGAGGCACGCAAGGTATTTGATGCTGTGCCCGGTAGAAATATTGTTTCTTGGACTGCTATGTTAAGTGGGTACGCAAAATGTGGAATGTTGGAAGAGGCGCGAGTTTTGTTTGAGAAGATAGATAGCAAGAATGTTGTTTGTTGGAATTCAATGATATCTGGGTATGTAAGAAATGGAGAAATTAGAGAGGCTAGAAAATTGTTTGAGGCAATGCCTGTTAAGAATTCTGTGTCATGGGTGACTATAATTGAAGGGTATTTTAGATATGGCCTTGTAAGTGAAGCCAAGAAGTTGTTTGATCGTGCTTCAAAAAAAAGTGTCTTGGTTTATAATGCTATGTTGGCCGGTTATGCTGAAATGGGATATGTTGAGGATTCTTACGAGTTATTTGTTATAATGCCTCAACGTGATGTGGCTTCTTGGACTAGTATGATAAAGTGTTTTTCAAATGGAGGGCAGGTGGAGAGAGCTAGGAGCTTGTTTCAGGAGATGCCGGAAAAGGATGTGGTGGCTTGGACAACAATGATGCGGGCTTATTTGCAGAATGGTCGTATTGCAGATGCTAGGGAATTATTTAATGAGATGCCTCATAAAGACATTGTTGCATGGAACTCAATGATTGATGGTTGTATTCAGAATGGAAGGGTTGAAGATGCTCTTGAATTGTTCATGCAGATGCCAAGGAGGGATACAGTGTCATGGAATTCAGTATTGCAGGGATATGTGCAACAAGATGATATGATTAATGCTTGCAAATTTTTTGAAGCAATGCCCCAAAAAGATGAAACCTCATGGAACATAATGATTGCTGGATATCAAAGCGAGAAAGCTTTAGTTTTATATGTCCACATGTGGCAAAGTGGATTTAAGCCTGATCAAGGGACCTTTACTAGTGTAATCTCGGTATGTGGTGTGCTTTCTGTACATGGTTGGGGAAGAGCAGTGCATCTCTATGTCATTAAGATTGGTTATGAAAATGATACAATGGTAATGAGTTCATTAGTATCTATGTATTCTAGATGTGGCTTCTTCAAATATGCTGCAGCTGCATTTGAAAGGATAACTGATCGTGATATAGTTGCTTGGAATGCCATGATTGTGGCACAAGCATACCATGGTTCTGCTGTAGACACCCTCAATCTCTTCTCTTCTATGATTCGAGGTGGATTAGAACCTGACCATGTAACTTTTCTAGGACTCTTGACTGCCTGTGCTCATTCAGGACTAGTCGATGAGAGCTGGAAACAGTTCAACTCTATGAAGGTGAACTGGAATTTGACACCAAAACCAGAGCATTATGCCTGCATAGTTGATCTACTTGGTAGATCAGGATTGCTGGCTGAAGCCTTTGAGTTAGTTAAACAATTACCAGTGGATCTCCCAGCACATGCTTGGGAATCATTACTTAGTTCTTGTAGAGTCCATGAAAATTTTGAGCTAGGTGAATTTGTAGCACTAAAACTTCTAAGTGTTCAACCTTGTAATGTTGGGATGTATGTACTCCTATCAAATATATATGCTTCGAGAGGTTTGTGGAAGGAAGCAGCACATATTAGAGCAGTATTGAAGCAACTTCAATTGAAGAAAGAGTTGGCATGTAGTTGGATTGAGATGAATGGTCAGATCTGTCAGTTTTTTTGCAGTGACAAGTCTCATCCCCGAACAGAGGACATATACAAAGAATTAGTTAGCCTCAATGTAATCATGGATGAAATAGGCTCAATGATGCATTAATGAGGCAATATATTTTTTTTTTCTATCTACATGTATAGTTTTTTATCCGTATGTTACTTCTTTATATGAATCATACTTGAGAGATGGTATAAGATTTGTTTCATATTTTGTTAGCATAACTTTGGCAATCTGGTCCGGGGATTAGTTTGTGAATACAATACTGGATCTCATCGAATGGTGTGGATTTCAATGAGGTTTTGTGTACAAGAGGTGGATCTTTTGTACATCCTTCTTAAGAAGGTAGATTATTGGTGGCTTTAGATGTGACTTCAAGGGTCCATTCCTTGGCTATTAGAATTTCATCTTTTGAAGCGAGGTTGTATGGTACATAGATGAAGTCAAAGTGTTGGCAGGAAGGAGTTTCCTATTATAAGAAAAATATATGCAAAACGGTAAGTTTCCAGTGGCTTGAAAGAGGAGGGAAGGTCGGGATGTTGAGGTGATGTCTACAAGTGAGAGTAGAAGATGCTTGATGATGATTAAAGGTTTGCATTTATATATAGACATGATGATGATTAGACGAAATTTTCTGAACCATATAATGTCATTTGAACTTCAGACTTGACAGAATATTAACAATTTTATTTTTCTGGTTCTTTGTAAAATGTCACATCTCATATATGTCTGGTTCCTTCAGTATTGTGGGTGCAAGTTCTTTTTCTCTTTTTGCAAGCAGGATGCATGGCAGCATCATAGATGCACTTGGTTACAACTACATAAAACATCGTAACATTATAGTTGAACCATCACATACAGCAGAAAACAAAGTAAATTTTTTTTTACCTCATAAGCACAACCCTCTTTGGGCCAAATTCCTAATGACACATGGAAGACTGACAAAGCAAATACGAGCAACTAGTTACGATATACAAACCTAGAGTGCATGCTTCTTGTGAAACTATAGAAAAACCAGTCAACCTTTGTTTTGTAGCTAAGAATGGGAAGAAAGAATTAGAATGTGCCGAATATGAAGACATATTCCTCTGATACATGCCCCAACAAGTTATGTTGCTGCTGCCTATGAANTCCCCGAACAGAGGACATATACAAAGAATTAGTTAGCCTCAATGTAATCATAGATGAAATAGGCTCAATGACGCATTAATGAGGCAATATTCTTTTTTTTTTCTATCTACACGTATAGTTTTTTATCCGTATGTTACTTCTTTATATGAATCATACTTGAGAGATGGTATAAGATTTGTGTCATATTTTGTTAGCATAACTTTGTCATAAGAGTGAAGCTGGATATTGAAGTTTGGACTCAAATCCAGTCATATAGTTTAAGGCAGAGTTGTATTACTTGGCTACTCTGATCCTTTATTATACTATCTTCTCACAAAGAGCAAATAACTTCCCCCTTTTGGCCATCTTGACCTGTTGCTAGCTTTCGGTTCATGAACTTGTTTTTTTGATCCAACGGTTCATGAACTTCAATGGTCTATTTCTATTATGCACACCAACTTGACTCACCTTTGCAGTCGAGTTTTTTGTTTTTTGGGACTTACGTGGATGAAAGGGCTTCTGATACTTTGTAAATACATAATACTTAATTTAATTAGGGATGGTCTTGGCTCATGAAGACTTGGTTGAAGGACATTTTTGGAGTCTTGAGTGTGATTTAATTATAAAATACTAATAGTCTATCTAACCAACCTTCCACACGTTGGCAAAACTAATGGATTATGAATCAAAGCAAAAGCTAAAATCAATTACAAGGTTTGGTGTTTCTATTGCTTCCTCCATTCAACATGCTAGATACTGTTAGTGCCTTGGTGTTTACTTCAGAAAGAGGGAATATAAATGAAAAAGTGGAGTGGTTGGGGAATTAGGGAATAAATTAGTGAAGTTGGGAGTGGTTGGAGAGAGGTTTGCATTGAGCAGTTGAGGAGAAAGGAGCCCTTTTTACTTGGCTTATTAAGACCTTTTTGGTATCTTCATGATTCTTCTCATTTGACCTCCGTTTTTTATTGTAGAATTTTTCTCAGGTGATGCTTAACTAAATTGTCTTGTTTTATTTTGTGATAGGGAGCCAACCCATCATTCTTTGTGGGGGCTTCACTTTGCATTTAAAATGCTGAGACTTTAATAGCTGTGTAGACTATCAATTGATAGATAAGTACCTTCCATAAGTGCTAGAAAACAATGACATTTAAAATTTACAATTCCCTGCATCTTACTTTCATATTAGAGATCCTATGTAGAGCAATGGAAAGTGCTCACCTGTCCAAGTGTAAGTGTTACTTCGCGGCTCGCTTTTGGGGAATGAAGCTCTTCAAAAATGAGAAATTGGTTTTGGTTTTTTTGGGTTTTTTTTTTTTGAGGTGGGGATTGTACACTAAAATGGGCTACGTGTTAAGAATAGAAGAAGAGAGTAATTGGCGATATCAAGAATTTGATGTGCTCACATTTGTGCAGGGATAAAGTTGCATATGTCTAACTCTCCTAAGACCCTATAACGAAAGGAGTCTCGTGCGCTAGACTGTCTTTATTTTTTTAATATTTTGTAACCTTATGGAACCAACATTTGAAAACTTTAACTTCATTTATTGTCATCTTTAGATTTGTTATTCTACAGCCCACTGTTGGTTCTCCACATGGTGTGGAACAAGCTCTTACTGTGCCTGCGACTGAAGATAGTGTTACTCTCTGCTTTGCTGGTCCATAAAAAGGTCTAGACTNGGTGAGCAGTTGAGGAGAAAGTAGCCCTTTTTACTTGGCTTATTAAGACCTTTTTGCTATCTCATGATTCTTCACATTTGACCTCTGATTTTTATTGTAGAATTTTTCTCAGGTGATGCTTAACTAAATTGTCTTGTTTTATTTTGTGAAAGGGAGCCAACCCATCATTCTTTGTGGGGGCTTCACTTTGCATTTAAAATTCTGAGACTTTAATAGCTGTGTAGACTATCAATTGATAGATAAGTACCTTCCATAAGTGCTAGAAAGCAATGACATTTAAAATTTACAATTCCCTGCATCTTACTTTCATATTAGAGATCCTATGTAGAGCAATGGAAAGTGCTCACCTGTCCAAGTGTAAGTGTTACTTCGCGGCTCGCTTTTGGGGAATGAAGCTCTTCAAAAATGAGAAATTGGTTTTGGTTTTTTTGGGTTTTTTTTTTTTGAGGTGGGGATTGTACACTAAAATGGGCTACGTGTTAAGATAGAAGAGAGTAATTGGCGATATCAAGAATTTGATGTGCTCACATTTGTGCAGGGATAAAGTTGCATATGTCTAACTCTCCTAAGACCCTATAACGAAAGGAGTCTCGCGCGCTAGACTGTCTTTATTTTTTTAATATTTTGTAACCTTATGAGAGTTAGACATATGCAACTTTATCCCTGTTGTAACCTTATGGAGCCAACATTTGAAAACTTTGACTTCATTTATTTTCATCTTTAGATTTGTTATTCTGTAGCCCACTGTTGGTTCTGCACATGGTGTGGAACAAGCTCTTACTGTGTCTGTGAATGAGGACAGTGTTGCTCTCTGCTTTGCTGGTCCATAAAAAGGTCTGGACTCTTTCTTTTGATCTTTTTGGAAGTTATTATGATCTCTGTGGATTGTGCATGTTTCTTGGTGCACTCTTCCATCGACAAACTACACTTGCATCTCTACTTGCTAAAATAATAGCAGCCTGACAATAAAAATGATGTGCCCTGTATCAGTTTGTTTAAGTTTGTTGGTAAAATAGCTCATATTACAAGAACTGAAGGGTATGGTTACAATGAAAGTCTACATACCATGTGTTTTTTAGGTTTATGGTTGCAACTCAAGTCTTGGATGCACGCATTCACCCGCAAACCATTTGTACAGGTTAAACATCATTTTATGTGCCAAGAATTCTCGAATTCAAAAGTTTGATTTTATTCCGAGTAATTTTATTGGAATTTAAAAAATTGATCTAATTTATTGACATAATGATGTGATAAATAATAAAGTCATAATGAAGAAGTCTAACCGTTCTAGTCACCAATACTATTGGACTATGTCATTGTCAAATTAACGGGGGAGATCTCTGGTCTGTCCTTAGCGAGATAGTGGTGACTTAGTCTCTCAGGCGCGTGAGTCTGAGTAGAACCAATGGCAAACCCCGTGTGTATGAACATGTCCCTCAACTTATATACCAGTTAAATTAGGACTTGTGCTTCGGTAGAAATTCAAACCCACAGTAGAAACTTGGATACAGTTCGTCCAAACAACTAAGGTCCACCCTACTAACTAATCACGTTTTTTGTTGCTCAATGGACTTGAACTCTTGACTTTGTAAAAGTTAAGCCTTCAAAATACAAGAATATGGTCAAGACCTGAAAAGTTACATTGCCTTTGGTGTGTGAATCATATGATTCATAGCAGAGAAGGTCTCACAGTACTTAGTTGGTGGTTGCTTTGAAGAGATGGACTGGATAATAAAGATGAAAAGGTGGGAGTGGTTTGAGGAAAGAGAATAAATTAGGTAAAAGTTTGGACTGGTTGGAGAAAGGTTTGCATTAAGTGAGTCACAAGAAATGAGCCTTTTTCCCTTGGCTTCTTTACTGCATTCAAAGTGTTCTTCTTGGCACCTTCTTGATTCTTCCCTTATGACTTCATCTACTTCTTACAATTGGGAAAGAGAAATGTCATCCATTTTTTATTAGATTTGCTCTCATAGGTTTCATGGGGGTGATGGTACTGCGCTAAGTTAATTACATTATGATATAAGTATTACAGGGCGAGAAATAGAACAACTTCTCGATCATTAAGATGAGTTCACATTATCTTTGGCCCAAAACACACACACACACACACACACAANGGCTCGAGTTTGCATTAAGAAGAAAAGTGGATCTTGACTCCTAAGGAACAACAATGGGGACCTATAACTGACAGGAAAAATTTCTACTTAAATTTGTTGATGGTTAGTAGTTGGCCTAATAGACACCGTCATTGTTGTTAAATTTTCCTGTAACAGTGTCTGTGCCCTTTTCATTCAATTACTGAGGTCATAGGTCATTTTTT